GCAACCCTCATCTTTGACTTTTTCTGTATTCTAAAGTTTTTCAACCCTTCACCATTACATATGCTGTTTGGTGTAGGTTTCTTGTAGTTACATTGTATCAGATTAAGAAACTGTTCTTTTGGGGCGCCTGGGTGGCTCAGTCAGTTGGGCAGTCGACTTCGGCTCAGGTCATGATCTCGCGGTCGGTGAGTTAGAGCCCCGCGTCGGGCTCTGTGCTGACAGCTCAGAGCCTGGAGCCTGTTTCGGATTCTGTGTCTCCCTCTCTCTGACCCTCCCCCGTTCATGCTCTGTTTCTCTCTGTCTCAAAAATGAATAAACGTTAAAAAAATTAAAAAAAAACCTGTTCTTTTATTCTTAATTTGCCTATTGTTCTTTTTATCATGGTTGCATGTTGGATTCTATTAACTACTTCTATATCTATTGATATCATATGATTTTATTCTTCTTGAATCTGTTAATGTGGTAAATTGCATTGATTGAATTTCCTAATGTTAAACCAATCTCAGAACAATGGTTTTCAACTTGACTGATCACCAGAAGCACATAAAGAGTCATTTTAGTGGCTCAGTTGGTTAAGCATCGGACTTCGGCTCAGGTCATGAACTCGCGGTATGTGAGTTCGAGCCCCGCGTCGGGTTCTGTGCTGACAGCTCAGAGCCTGGAGCCTGCTTTGGATTCTGTGTCTCCCTCTCTGCCCCTCCTCTGCTCATGGTCTGTCTTTCTCTCTCTCTCTTTCAAGAACAAGTAAACATTAAAAAAATAGAAAAATAAAAAATAAGTCATTTTCAGAGCTTAAATTGTAGCAAATATTGAAGAAGTCTATGAATATAGAAAAATGCAAAGACTAACATAACACCTGTGTCTTTTTTCCCCCTCCGTTTCGTATTTTAATAAAACAAAAGGAATAAAATAATACAGATAAAGTTGATGTCCCTTTTCTTCTGGTCTACAATTTTGTTCCCTTCTCTTCTCTACGGAGCTTCCCCCATCTCAGTAACTCGCATATTTATTTTTCTAAGCTTAATTACTTCTAAAAATAGGCAGTATGTGCACATAGTATAAAACTCAAAAGTAACAAAAGTTAAATCCTTTCACTTCTGCTTCCGGCTCCCCGTTTCTCCTGCCTACAGGCAACCATCAGCACTGGTTTTTGTGTGTTCTTTCGGAGACATCCAACATGTGTACAAATGTACACATTTTTTTTTTTTTTCCTCCCACAACCATTAGTGGCCTACTCTTCAGGCTGTTCCCACCCAACTGAATCCATTGAATAAGATGCATTGGAGATAGTTCCATTTCAGTGCAAATAGTTCAACCTGGTGTAGTGTCCTATTATATTGATTTATGATATTTTATGCAGCCGGTCTCCTGTTGATGGCTGCGGATTCACGCAGTTTCTACTCTTCTGCTGTTACAAACAATGCTGCAACGAATAGTCTTGTGTATTGGCTTTGTAAACATGTGGAGTGGGATCACTAGTATAAAATGTTGATAGATAATGCCAAATAGTCTCCCCAAGTGTTTACTAATTTCTGTTTTACTCGAAATGTACGAAAGTGCCAGTTTCACTGACATTCTTGTCAATAGGCCGTTTTCAAATGTGTTGATCTGTATCCCTCTAAAAGTTTAAAAAATTATGTCTCATTGTAGTTTTATTTCACATTCAGTTTATTTATTTTTTAATGCTTTCATTTATTTTTGAGAGAGACAGAGACAGAATGCGAGTGGGTTAGGGGCAGAGAGAAGGGGAGACACAGAATCCGAAACAGGCTCCAGGCTCCGAGCTGTCAGCACAGAACCTGACTCGGGGCTCGAACTTACAAGACGCGAGATCATGACCTTTGCTGAAGTCGGCCACTTAACCGACTGAGCCACCCAGGCGCCCCCACATTTCAGTTTATTAACAGTGAGATTGGATATTTCTTAATGTGTTTAAAAGCCATTTGGATTAGATCTGTCTTCTGCCCATTTTTCTATAGGATCATGAATTTCTTACTGATGTGGAGGAGCTAAGGCATATAAGGAGATGAGCTCTTTCTTTTTAATTTTTTTTTAATATTTATTTATTTTTGAGAGAGAGAAAGACAGACCATGAACAGGGAAGGGGCAGAGAGAGAGGGAGACACAGAATCCAAAGCAGTTCCAGGTTCTGAGCTGTCAGCACAAAGCCCGACGTGCGGCTCGAACTCACGGACCACAAGATCATGACGTGAGCGAAAGTTGGACGCTTAACCAACCGAGCCACCCAGGCACCCCATTTTTTAAAAAAATTTTTTTTAATGTAAGGAGATTAACTCTTTACCAGTGATATGTATTGGAAATATATTTTCTCAGTATATTGCGTTTCTCATGGTTTTTGTTTTTACCCTATTTTTTTCTGAAGTCTTTTTAAAATCTTTTATTTCGTAGCTTCTGAGTTTTGTGTCATACTTCGAAAGGCCTTCCCTACTTAAGATTTAAAAACCACATCCCATCTTTTCTTCTGGTACTTTAATTTTTAAAACTCATGCAGTCATTTGAATTTATCTGGAACTTATTTTTATGTAAGAAATGGGGTAAGGATCCAAATCATTTTTTCCCTAGGTGGTTCTTCAATTGTCTTTTAAGATTTATTTAATAGTCTTTCTTTTCCTCATTTTTAAGGTACAATATAATACTTAAAACGAGAAAAAGAAAAACAATGAAATTCCACATTTTAAAAAGTTGATCACTGCAAATATCACAAAACCCAGAAAAATAACATAATATTTTTGTTAATCAGCTGCTTGCTGCTCCTCTAGAATACATTTTACTCTGGTGAGCTCCCCCCTTTTTAAGTATAGTGTTCAGTAAACATCCAGTAAATTTAACTTTTTCTTTGTTGTACCTCGCTATGAATTTAGACAAATATATAGAGTTATGTAGTCAGCCACTGCATTCAAGATAGTGAAAAGCCCATCAGACCCCAAAATTCCCTCTTACTGCCCCTTTGTAGGCAAATTCTCCTCCTACCCAGCCCCTGGCAACCACTGGTGCATTCTCTGCCCCTGCCCACTCAGTCAGAATTTCTGAGAGTGGGTTTCTCCCTCTAGAATGATAAAGGTTCCCTAGGTGATTCTGATTTGAGTGGAGGCTCAGGAAAGTTGCCTGAGGACACTGCTTCTTCTTTTTATTTTTTTATTTTTATTTTATTTTTAATGTTTATTTATTTCTGAGACAGAGAGAGACAGAGCATGAGTGGGGGAGGGGCGGAGAGAGAGGGAGACACGGAATCCGAAGCAGGCTCCAGGCTCTGAGCCGTCAGCCCAGAGCCCGACGCGGGGCTCGAACTCACAAATGGTGAGATCATGACCTGAGCCGAAGTCGGTCGCTCCACCGACTGAGCCACCCAGGCACCCCAGGACACTGCTTCTTGACCGGAACTTGCTCTGTGCCCCTGGAATAGGCTTTGTGGTAGTGAGAGCTGTGAGCGGTCAAAGGTCTCAGATAAGTGATGACAGCTGATATTTCCCGAGTGCTTACTATCTGACGGGTACCATGCTAAACACATCAAGTGCGTTATCAAACTCTTCACAACATTCCCAGGAGGTAAATCCCCATTTTGCAGATGAGGAAACTGAAGCTAGAGATAGAGATAGAGTAATTTGCTGGAGATCACACAGCCAGGAAATGGGAGAGCCAAGGCTCGGACCCAGGCAGGCTAATTGTAGTGTCCATGCCCCTCATCCCTCTGCTGTATTGCCTCCCTCCTAAAAAGAGCAGCTATCTGCCCCTACCGCCCCCAGCCTGGCAGTGTGGCAGTCGCCAGTTTGTCTCTCACGTCCTTAGACGCTTCTCCTAACACAACTTCTTTCAACGTTTTTATTTATTTTTGGGACAGAGAGAGACAGAGCATGAACGGGGGAGGGGCAGAGAGAGGGAGAGACACAGAATCGGAAACAGGCTCCAGGCTCTGAGCCATCAGCCCAGAGCCCGACGCGGGGCTCGAACTCACGGACCGCGAGATCGTGACCTGGCTGAAGTCGGACGCTTAACCGACTGCGCCACCCAGGCGCCCCTAACACAACTTCTTGTGTGGGACCCCGGTATTCCTGAAGCAGGGGTGATTCGGGAGGGGCAATGGGGGCGGAATGCTGAGTGAGCCCCGCCCCTGGGATAGCAGGGTAGGTGCCTGGGTTGGGGCAGGGGTGCTGTTTCTGTCTTGCTGACAACATGTTTCCTCCCTCTGCACTGGACAGAGCCTCCTCTGTTTCTCTCCATCTGATTTCCTGTTTCCTCCTCTGGCTTTGGAGTACCTGGGCTCCCCTGACTACCTCTTCTTAAGCTCCTACCTGTTCTCTATTTCACCTCAGCTTGGTAAGAGGAACAGGGATCCTGGGGTCTGGGCAAGGGGCAACATCTCGTTCTAGTGCATGGGCCCTGGAAGGGGTGGGTCCCACAACCTCCCTTTCCCCTGGAAGAGGCCTGTAGAAGGTTTTAAGGATGCCCCTGAAAAGGTACAAGGCAAGTCGAGCTGGGGTCCTCAGCCAGAGGCACTAACGCTCCCTAGCAGGGCTTTTGGAAATGGGGGCTGTTTTTTTAAAAACTTGAATTGCATTATAACATACACACAGACCAGCGCGTGAGTCATGAGCTCGATTCTTCACATGGTGAATACACACATTTAACCACTACCGGATCAAGAAATAGAACATGACCAGCATCCCAGAAACTCCCCTTCAGGCCCTCTTGCAGTCACCAACCCTGGAGTAGGGGCAAGGGGAGTGTTTTTTAATTGTCGTGATGACTTAACGGGTTCTGGGATTTAGTGGGCGGAGTCCAGGGCTGCTAAATGTCTTGCAATACATCGGACAGTCCTGCAGCACAAAGGATCCTCCTGCCCAAATGCTCTGTTGAGAAACACTGTGCCTGACACCTCCCGCATTATGGCAAAGAGACCTGCCCTAGGCCTGGGAAACAGCTGTGGGTCAGAGTGAGGAGGGGTGTCACCACAATGTATCCACACTGTTGCCTCTCTCCAGGCCTCCGGAACGCCCCCCGCTGCTGGGCAGTGATCCAGCCCCTGCTGTGTGCTGTGTACATGCCCAAATGCGAGAATGACCGGGTGGAGCTGCCCAGCCGCACCCTGTGCCAGGCTACCCGAGGCCCCTGTGCCATTGTGGAGAGGGAGCGTGGCTGGCCTGACTTCCTGCGTTGTACCCCTGACCACTTCCCCGAGGGCTGCCCGGTGAGTGCTGTGACAGGCAAGCCGCAAGCCTAGGGCAGGGCCCAACAGGAAGCAGGGGCAGGGGAGCCCCGCAGCCTTCTCTCCCGGGAGACCCCAGGAGACCCCAAATCTGCAGCCGTGGGGTCAATGAGCCACAAACCCAAACTGAAGCTCACTGGCGGGGCCAGTCTATCAGGGATTGTCTGTTGATTTGTAGACGATAACTTGTGTTCAACAAATATTTTTTGAGCACCTACTCCGCTAGGTGTTGGGGAGTTTCGGGGGTCGATGACGACAGGAACTCACTCTCCAAGAAGTTTATTGTGTATTTAGGGAGTCCAGGCGCGCACATGTAAAACAGCTATAGACCCCAAGACGGATGTGATCTCGTTCTGGTGGTAAAGGAGGGCTCATAAGTAATAATAATACTAATGGCAGTAATGTTGGTAATAAAACTAATTATTATTATTTGCTATCTGCCAAATACCATAAGAGCCTCTTACAGCCATTGATTCACTTACCCCTTAAACCACACCATGAAGTAGGGACTGCTGTCTTATACGTGGGGAAACCGAGAGGTCCAATAATTTGTCCCAGCCTTTTGATATAGTTTGTCATTGAGTGGCAGGGCGGGGTTTCAAAAGCTGGAAAGCTATCTCCAGCCTGTGCTCGTAGGCACTCTACCAAGCTGCCCTTATGCCTCGTATTAAGCCAAAGGGTGCCCCTGGGCCTCCTGCTCCCTTTTGCACTGCCTTTTCCCCTTCCCTCGTGCCAGAATGAGGTGCAGAACATCAAGTTCAACAGTTCGGGCCAGTGTGAGGCTCCCTTGGTTCGGACCGACAACCCCAAGAGCTGGTATGAGGACGTGGAGGGATGTGGGATCCAGTGCCAGAACCCGCTGTTCACTGAGGCCGAGCACCAGGACATGCACAGCTACATCGCGGCCTTCGGCGCAGTCACAGGCCTCTGCACACTCTTCACCTTGGTCAGCTGAGGGCAGGCCTGCGGGCGGAGGGGTTAGGGGAACGGGGGTCCGGAACACACAGCCTATAAAGTGGGAAGTGGATCGACAGTTGTCTGCGTTGTGAGGGCAGAGGGAATGGGGAGAGGATGCCTTGGGGGGTGTCCCTGGGGGAAGGGTCTGGATAAGAGGGTTCGGGGGCTCAGACAAAGGTGTCTGTGGCAGCAGAATCACCCTAACCTCATAGAGCGGATCCCACTTCTCTCTTCTAGGCCACGTTTGTGGCTGACTGGCGGAATTCGAATCGCTACCCTGCTGTTATTCTCTTCTACGTCAATGCGTGTTTCTTTGTGGGGAGCATCGGCTGGTTGGCCCAGTTCATGGACGGCGCCCGCCGGGAGATCGTCTGCCGTGCAGATGGAACCATGAGGCTCGGGGAGCCCACGTAGGTGTTTTGAGGACCCAGAAGCCAGGGTGACGGACAGAAGGCTGAAATGAAAAGGGACAGGGTGGGCTTGAAACTGAAGATTTCAGTGTAGGGTTCAGCTCTGCCTTGTTGAGCCTACGGTATCCAGCGTTGGGGATGTGATTGTTTGCATCTGCTCAGAGGGGCATCTTCCATAACCTCTTCGAATGTGACCTGAGTCCCACCTCCAAGCTCTGACTCCTAGGGAACCTCCAGACGTTAGAGGCCAAGGCTCTGGGGACAGGGTGGAGAGAGCTGATAAAGGGAATATGGAATGCCCTCCCCAAGTGCCCCTCCACATGTCTGCACAGCTCCAATGAGACCCTGTCCTGCGTCATCATCTTTGTCATCGTGTACTACGCCCTTATGGCTGGTGTCGTCTGGTTTGTGGTCCTCACCTATGCCTGGCACACCTCCTTCAAAGCCCTGGGCACCACCTATCAGCCTCTGTCCGGCAAGACCTCCTACTTCCACCTGCTCACGTGGTCACTCCCGTTTGTCCTCACTGTGGCAATCCTTGCCGTCGCCCAGGTATGGTGACCGGTAGGAGGCTGGGGACCTGAGTGGAGTGGGCTTGGGTAGGGGGGCCCGTGACCCACTCGGTCCCTCCCACCCCCACCCCCCTTTGTGCCGCAGGTGGATGGGGACTCTGTGAGCGGCATCTGTTTTGTGGGTTACAAGAACTACCGATACCGTGCAGGCTTCGTGCTGGCCCCGATCGGCCTGGTGCTCATTGTGGGAGGCTACTTCCTCATCCGAGGTGAGTAGGCACCAAGCGGGCACCAGTCGGGCAGCAAAAAGCGCTGAGCACCCGCTCTGTGTAAGTAGGAGCTAGGAGCTGCCGGTTCTGCTACCTTTGCAGCAACCTTTGTGCTGGCCCGAGCAAGGCAGCCCCTTTCTCCAGAGCCTTGAGCCGGGGCTCACAGCTTGTGGAGTAGAGCCTGAGCTGGGTTCCAGCCCCCGCTCAGCCCTTGGCCCGGTGCACTTGTATGGTGAATAACCCGCCCTGTCCACGTGGACCAACTCAGGGCCTTTGGTCATGTGTGTGCACCCTGAATTTATACATGAGCTCCATCTTCTGGCTCCTCATCCGCCTCCTACCCCCAGAACATAGTCACACACAGTTTTCACAACATGCACAGATTCTCTGTTCCCTAATTTCCCCGTCTGGATCCGCCGCCTCCGTCTCTTCTTAGCTCATTTGTGTTGCATTTTCTTTGTAAACTTCAGTTTCCTCTCCCTGTGCTGTCAGCCTTCTGTTCAGCCCACCTCTTTCTGCCAGTGTCTGGGCCTTTGATTTAGGTTTCGGGCCCGTGCTCTCCTGTACGGTAGCCACTGGCCACCTGTGTTGAAACTGGTCCAGATTGCGATGTATCGTAAGTACAAAATCCACACTGCACTGCAAAGACTCCGCACACACCAAAAGGTAAACTGTCTCATTAATAGTTTGTTGTGTGGATTACATATTGAAATGCTACTAAAACACAATGATGTATTGCTCGGGGAAGGTATGGAAATCAGCTTCGTTTGCATCTTTTTTACTTTTTTAACGAGGCTGCTAGAAAATGTGAGCTTATGGGTGTGGCTGACATACTTCTATCGCATAGCTCTGTTGTTACATCTCTTTTCTTGCCTTTTCCATCAGCACAGCTATGACCTGGCTGCCTTACTTACGGGGAGCCGGGGCCAGGACGAAGGCACCTTCTCTCTCTTCTCGACTGTTTGTCTGGGCTCTGCCTCCGTCTTTCCAAGTACATAGCACATCTGCCACCAGCTGTGCCCCATTTCTCAAGTGTCTCCAGTTTCCCCAAGCTTTACATCAGCAGAGGAGTAATCAGACCTGGGACTGCCTGCCACCTCCATCCCTCCCGGGAGAGTGGCCTCACCCCACTAATGTCTGAGATCTCTCTTCTGTTCAGGAGTCATGACTCTGTTTTCCATCAAGAGCAACCATCCCGGGTTGCTGAGTGAGAAGGCTGCCAGCAAGATCAACGAGACCATGCTGCGCCTCGGTGAGTGGGCCCCAGGGCCTTTGGCCCGAGGTACTGATCAGTCCGACACTGCACACTTGTGTGGCTGTGGGACCTGCAGGATGGGATCTTGGAGGACGCATTGTGAGTGGTGCAAGTTAGCAGCCATGGGAACAAGACAAGGCTGTGGGGCATGTGTGTGTATGGGGGGTGGGATGGGGTGAGAGGTCATGGTGGTAGCAACTCAAAAGAAGGGGACCTTCTTGGATGGAAGAATTCAGGCTCGTGCCCAGACTGCTTCCTCGTGCCCACTGGGGCCCTCCCGCAGTTGGCTCAAGTGCCCTTCAAGTCTTATTCTGGAGAATACAGCAAACTGAGCCTAGCGTGAATTTACCCCAGACTCAGCCATCTTTCAGGCCTGAATGGGGCAGACGCCTTGTCCCCACTGCTGCTCCCACACCGGGGATTGGTAATGCTCTGTCCCACCCTGGCCCTCCACAGGCATTTTTGGCTTCCTGGCCTTTGGCTTTGTGCTCATCACCTTCAGCTGTCACTTCTACGACTTCTTCAACCAGGCTGAGTGGGAGCGCAGCTTCCGGGACTATGTGCTGTGAGTGCAGTGCTGGGGGCTTGGGGGCGGCAGCCACAGGACTTCAGACAGCCCTAGCCCTCCTTGCTGTCCAGCAAGGGTCTGCTAGGCACCTGCCTCTGACGGGCAGGTGAAACTGTCCATCCTGCTCTGGGCACCCAAGATGTCAATTGCTCTGTAATTTGCAAACACGGCAAAGCACGTCTCCTGTCCCGGCTCAACTCTGCTCTCCTCTCTGCACGAGCCACTGTCTGGCTGGTGTGTTTAACTGTTCAGCCCTCTCATGTTTGGGCTTCTCTGACGACTCTGTGTTGGCCACAGAAGTCACTCTAATTCTCACGTACTCTTTTACAGAGCTTATTATAGAGCCCTGCACGGAGTAGTTACCTCTCCACGATACGTGTAACAACCTATTAATACTTGCTAGCCTTGCCTGTGCTTTTTTGTGTCACCATGAGGATGAATCTGAGAGTGAAGCATCTCATCCACTGAAAGAAGGGCTGCACTAGCTGATGTCAGGAATAGCAGTTACAACGCTCATTAAAATGGACACCAGTCCACATCCTGACTGCCTCAGGCTCTTCCTTAACGGCTCCAGCTTCCAGTCTGGGAAGCAAGCTTTAAACCACACTAATACCTGGTCCTCCCCCAGAGATGTGATTTCATTGTCTGGGGTGTGACCCAGGCATTAGTAGTTATAAAAAGTAACTCTAATGTCTCAAGTGACTCTAGTGAGCACCCAGGGCTGTGAATCGTTGCCGTGGGCCTTAGCTCTTTCTAAAGTCTTTGGATTGATTGGGTACCCAGAGAGCCTCACCTGTCTACTAACCCCCCCCCCCACCACAGGTGCCAGGCCAACGTGACCATCGGGCTGCCCACCAAGAAGCCCATTCCTGACTGTGAAATCAAGAATCGCCCCAGCCTCCTGGTGGAGAAGATCAACTTGTTTGCCATGTTTGGAACCGGCATTGCCATGAGCACCTGGGTCTGGACCAAGGCCACGCTGCTCATCTGGAGGCGCACCTGGTGCAGGTGGGGCCAGCAGCCAGCCGGTTCTGACCTCGCCGCCTTACTCCCTCACTCTTGGTGTCCCCACCAATAAGGGTCGCCTGCTCCGTGGTCTCTCAACAGTCACCGGCAGACCAGTTTTCTAAGGGTCTGCATTGAGCTGCCTAAAGCTGCCTTCTGTGTGGCTCACCACTGCCCCCTGGTGACACCTCCTGTCCTCAGGAGGACCCTTCAAGTGCTGAGCCTGCCGCCAGCATCTTTCTTCTAAGAAGGGAATGATTTGAGCGATTTGAGTACTGGGCATCCAGGAGCCCTGCATCCTAGGCCCACTTCTTTGCAGAGGTCTCTTCTCAGAGTCCTCGAGGGACTTGGGGCCCTCTGGAGGCTCCATCCCTGGAGGGAAAGGCTTCGCCGGTCTTCAACAGGATTTGATGGGAAGTGGCTGCTCCTCGACTTCCCCTCCCCCATCTCTTCTGCTCTCAGGTTGACTGGGCAGAGTGATGATGAGCCCAAACGCATCAAGAAGAGCAAGATGATCGCCAAGGCCTTCTCCAAGCGGCGTGAGCTGCTGCAGAACCCAGGCCAGGAACTCTCCTTCAGCATGCACACTGTCTCCCACGACGGGCCTGTGGGTGAGCCTCGGTCCCTTTCCTCCACTGGAGCCACCCGATCCCCGCAACGCCTGGGCCCCCTTCCCCACTAAGCTGCTACGGACACATGGACTGGCAGGAAGGCAGGAAGGAAGAAAGCAGCCCCTCCTTTCCTCCCACACTCCACCCTCTCTCATCCCCCTTCCGTCCCTCGCTACTCTGCCCTCTGTTTCTGCCCCTGGGTCTGCTTGCTGGTGCTTTGGTTTCAAAAGGAGTCATCTCCCTCTCACTTCTTCTGTCTTCTCCAGTGGTTCTCCCTGGGCTAGAGTAAGTCTGGGTTCTAGGAACTGGGTTTCTGGCCTCTAGTGATGGTAGATCACTGGGACTGGGTAGATCACTGTGATTCCCTGGGTGGGCTTTCTGGACTCCGTGGACTGGGAGGGAGCTACAGTCACCCAAGGAGTGGGGCAGTCATGATTCCTTAGCCCTTCCTTCTACCCCCACAGCGGGTTTGGCCTTTGACCTCAATGAGCCCTCTGCCGACGTGTCCTCTGCCTGGGCCCAGCATGTCACCAAGATGGTGGCTCGGAGAGGAGCCATACTGCCCCAGGATGTGTCTGTCACCCCTGTGGCAACTCCAGGTACAAGGAGTCAAGCTTCTGTAGGAAGTGGGGGGTGGGGGCATGGAGTCTGGGGGTTCTTGGGACTGGAGCACAAGCAGCTGCCAAAAGGGAGACCCTGGAGGATGTAGAGTGTGGGGCTGAGGCACTAGAGATCTAGAGTTGTGGGTCCCAGACCTCAAAAGTAGGGGTCCAAGGAAAGAACAGGTGATGTGGACAGACCAGCGTCCCAGGCTCACGTTCTCTCTCCTGCCATCAGTGCCCCCAGAGGAAAAAGCCAACCTGTGGCTGGTTGAGGCAGAGATCTCCCCAGAGCTGGAGAAGCGCCTGGGCCGGAAGAAGAAGCGGAGGAAGAGGAAGAAGGAGGTGTGCCCGCTGGTGCCACCTCCTGAGCTTCACCACCCTGCCCCTGCCCCTGCGGCCAGTGCTGTTCCTCGACTGCCTCAGCTGCCCCGGCAGAAGTGCCTGGTGGCCGCAGGTGCCTGGGGAGCTGGGGAATCCTGCCGACAGAGAGCCTGGACCCTGGTCTCCAACCCCTTCTGCCCAGAACCCAGTCACCTGCAGGATCCATTTCTGCCCAGTGCCCCAGTTCCCACGGCGGCCTGGGCTCAGGGCTGCCGGCAGGGGCTGGGGCCCATTCACTCCCGCACCAACCTGATGGAGGCAGAGCTCATGGATGCAGATTCAGACTTCTGAGCCCGGAGAGTGGGACCTGGGATAGGAAAGAGCGGCAAATACCATTCTGAGGTTCTTCATCCTCCCTGAGAGTGCTTCCCCAGGATCTTGTCTTCCAGAGCACCTGAGGGTGCAGTGCCCTCCCAGGAGGGCTCTATGTGTCTGTCTCAGGGCAGCAGGACTGTGGGAAAGGGCCCTGACATCTCCACGGGCAGGCTTCATCCAGGGAAGGACCCTGGAGCTCAGGGTCCTTGTTTCTGCCCCACCAGCTGGAGTCTGGCTGGCAGTATCCATGTGCAGCAGGGTCATGAGATCTGCAGAGCTTGGGGGTGGGGGGGACAGTGACGGTCGAGGCAGGGGTGACAGTACCCAGAGTGGCCTGCGGTAGCCAATGAGGCAGCCAGGCCCATACCTGGCAGATGAGGGCTGGCTGCCCTTCTCTGTGCCAGTGGATGCCCTTTTCTGGCACTCTCAGACCAAATGTGTTTATTGTGTCATTAGTCCTTTGTCTAGGTGGGGACGGGGCTCCCTTCTCCCTCTTCCAGGTGGTTGTGGAGCTGGAAGTGCCTATTCCCGTAGGGGCTATAACCTCTCTTCACAGGTGCCCGGTTGGCCCGACCCCAGGCCAGTAGCCCGTCCTGTGTGCTCCTGTACCCTCCTTCCCCTTTCCCATTTCAGTGCAACCAGGCCAACCTCTTCCTGTTTCCCTGTTCGTTGATTAGGACCCAGAACTGCTGCATGCTCCATCCCTCCCCCATCCCCCACCCTTTTGATGCTGGCTGCATCTCCAGGTGAGAGACTGGTTCAGCTATAGAGCCTGGCGTGGTGTAGAAGCGTGTTATCTCTTCCTCCCGTCCATCCAGTGGGGGGTGGATCCTCTGACTTGAGGGGCTAACCTGGGAGGCTGCTGGAGCTTCAGCCAGGCAGGAACGCTTCCTTCAACTTCCACAACTGCTGGGTGAGGAGATTCCCACCTCTCATAACCCCTAACTATGTCTCCAAGGCCCCAATTTCAAGAGCCAGACAGCAGGAAGCCTTAGGAGCTGGCTGGGTTCCAGATCGGGGATAGGGATGGGGAGAAGAAATACAAACAGTAAATAAAAGGTTTTTGTATAAACTCTTGGTGTGGTTCTTTTCCATAGATCCTGACCTGGTCTTGTTTGGGGGGGGGGGGGGGCTGGGGTGCCTGGCTAGCTGAGTCAGTAGATTATGTGACTCTTGACCTCAGGGTAGTGAGTTTGAGCCCCACCTTGGGCATAGACATTACTTAATAAAAATAAGGTAAAGTAAAATAAAATCCACAGGCCCTGGTCTTGACCCGTTTACCTGGTCCTGACCACATTTGTTTTCCACTTCCTTCTCGGGCTATTCTGAAAGGCCAATGGCTTGGCACTGTTGAGGTCATAACTGACAGATGTCAAGCTGTTATCAGCTTAACGTGCTGGCTGTCCTTCCCAGCTAGTCAGCTGCATATGGACAAAAACTCTTCTGTGGCCATAGCTGCCTCACTATGCACTGACCATAAGATGATTGAACAAGAACACGCAGCTGCCCCTGGAGTGACGACTGGGGGCAAGTAGCCCCCGCTAGTGTAGATGAGCATGGATCCTTGTGGCAATCCGGGGCCCCACCTCTAGGGGCCTCTTCCTTCTTCTTTTTTTCTTTATATATATGTTTATTTATTTTGAGAAGTGGGAGGGGCAGAGAGAGAGGGAGAGAGAATCCCAAACAGGCTCTGTGCTGTTGGCCTGGAGCCCAATGCCGGGCTCCATCTCACGAACCATGAACCATGAGAACCTGAGCAGAAGTCCAGAGTTGGACGCTTAACCGATTGAGCCACCCAGGCGCCCTTGGGGGGCGTCTCCTAAAAGGGATGTCAGTAGGGCCAGCTTCCTCCTGTGGGCAAAGGAATTCATACTTCCTCCTGTGAGCCCCACTTCCTCCAAAAAGATGTCAGTAGAAGACTGCAAAGTAGGTTGCAAGGACTCAGGATCAGGTGGAAAGGATCTGTGGAGGAAAGGCGGTGATACCCACAGACTCGGAAGGTACTGACTCTGGGGTACTGACCAGATCTGTTCACGTGATGGGGACACAAGCATTTTGCCCAGAGCCAGATTCCAGGGGAAGGGAACTGATATACCGATCTGATCACGTTCCAGGTACTTTATATGTGAATGATTATAAGAATAGTTGACTCTTGTTGAATGCTTGCCGGGCTCTTTTCCAAGCACTTTACATGCATTCATTCACTGAATCTCACCACAGATCTGTGAGGCACAGAAAGGTTTCATAGTTCGCCCAAGGCCACACAGTAAGCGGTAATGCTGGGATACTGTCAGGGGATCTGGCTACAGAGTGGGCTCTTGGCCACTGCGTTTGACAGTCTCTTGGTTAATTCAGAAGGATCAGAGGAGCTGGTTCTTTGAAGAAATAAGCTCAGCAAAGCAAAATGACTTGCGCACAACCTCCTAGGTAGTAAGCGACAGATCCCCGCCCTGGGCCCAAGGTCTTCCCGACTACCAAGTCCAGACTCTCCAGTCTCAGCTCTGACTTTGGATTTTTCCTCCCATCCAGGTTTCCCGCGCTGTGTTCCCTCTATACCCCTTCGTGGTTGCTTACCTCACTCACTCTTGCCATTACTGCTTCCCTCAGCAGTGATAGAGCTATTGTTTGACCTTTATCAACAAGAGCATTTAAAAGAGTAAAATGTATCAGTGTTGTCTAAGGATCTTTTCTAAAGTAAAGGAAAATGTCAACAGCTTTCTTTTCATCTCCATGGATGTTCCCTCCATTCCTTCTTTCTTTAGTGGGAATACTTACAATAAAATACTTATAAAAGGATGCGGAATGGGATGTAGGGGGAGTTGACTGTGGGCTTTAAAAGCTCAGAAACATTACCTTTCTACCTCTGGCCATGGAGGCTGACAGACTCTAACCACGAGAGGGCACTGTGAGCTCACTTTTTGTGAATGCTTCCGAGGGTGGCAGATAGAGTTCCAGGACCCGGACACTCCCACAACCAAGAAATCCTGCAGTATTTTTATAGGAGCACCAGCTCTGATGACTGAGTCATAGTGGTCGCTTTTCTACCAAAGCCCCCTGAACTACATCCCTGGAAGAAATACCTCAGGGTCCAAAAGGAGCTTGGTTTGGGGGACCCCCTGTGATCTGGCTGCTGCCCTGAGAACAGAAGTCTCCAGGCATTCAGTGCTGCTGCAGCAGTTTCCTCCCTCACGGGTTCCATTGGGTCCCTTACCATCTCAGCTCAGTCGTGCATCTTCCTAGGTTGGGAGGCCTGCCTCTTTTGGTCCCGGCTTCTTTGAAGCAGTCTGGCCACTGACCCAACCCTTCCCTCTGCCTGCTGGAATTTCATTTTCGTTTTTTTTTAACCTACAAAATTGAGAAGATACAGAAAAGCACAAAGAACAACCTAATAAACACCCATATTCCCGCTACTCAGAAGATATAATTGGAAAAGTCAAATCGTTCTACAGGTCTTGTTGATTAAAACAGCTGTCTTGGGGCGCCTGGGTGGCGCAGTCGGTTAAGCGTCCGACTTCAGCCAGGTCAAGATCTCACGGTCCGTGAGTTCGAGCCCCGCGTCGGGCTCTGGGCTGATGGCTCAGAGCCTGGAGCCTGTTTCCGATTCTGTGTCTCCCTCTCTCTCTGCCCCTCCCCCGTTCATGCTCTGTCTCTCTCTGTCCCGAAAATAAATAAACGTTGAAAAAAAAATTAAAAAAAAATAAAATAAAATAAAACAGCTGTCTTGGGACCTGACTCCTACCGGATACCCCATCACTTCCTGTTCTTGGGAGCCAACCTATCTTATTTTATTTTATTTTATTAAAATGTTTATTCATTTTGATGGGGGTGCAGGGGCAGAGAGAGAGGAGAGAGGAGAGAGAGAGAATATCCCAAGCAGGTTCCACACTGTCAGCACAAGAGAGCCCCATGCGGGGCTGGATCTCACAAATTGTGAGATCATGACCTGAGCCAAAATCAAGAGTTGGGCACTTAACCGACCGAACCACTCAGGCGTGGTTTATTTAACCAATTTATTTTAGATGCTTCTTATGTTACTTCCATATGTCTGAACAACATGATAATACTATCTCTCTCTTTTTTTTTAATGTTTATTTTTGAGAGAAAGAGAGACTGCACAGGGGAGGGGCAGAGAGGGAGGGAGAGAGAGGATGCGAAGTGGGCTCCCTGCTGACAACAAAGAACCCATATGGGGCTCGAACTCACAAACCGTGAGATCATGACTTGAGCTGAAGTCAGTCGCTTAACCCACTGAGCCACCCAGACGCCTCAGTAATACCATCTCTTGAATGTTCATTTGAGGTGTTACCATTTGACTTTTCAACATAGAGGATCAGGATTTAGCTGTTTTTCAATCTTTGCCTATAGGCAGGGGGGAAAAAAGTAGAAGGGAGGAGGTAATAGTCACAGTTTTGAAAGCCGGAAAGCAAAGGATGATGGGTAACTTAGCAGATTTGAAAAAGCAGAGTCTTAGGCAGCAGTAGGGAAAGCTTCTACTTTCCCAGAAGGCTCTGCATTGGAGGCAGTAAGTAGGTACTTCAGAAGGTAGAAATGAAAGCAGGAGGGTGGGTCCCTGGTCCCCTCCCAAACTCTGAATAGTCAGATGACTGCCTTTCTCCAACACTGGCTGACTGTTCAGTTCATTCTCTGGGGAAGGCAAACAGAGGGTCTGTGGTATTTAATGGAATTGTCTTCTAGCTTCTCAAACTCATTTTAAGAAGTTCAGTATCTTTCTGACTCTTGAGTTTTTGTAAAATTGTTATTCTTCGACCCGCTCCAGACATTTGAAGGATTGTCTCTTTGTCCCCAGAATTTTGAAATTTTTTTTTCTTTTTTTTTTTTTAATTTTTTTTTTAACATTTATTTATTTTTGAGACAGAGAGAGACAGAGCATGAACAGGGGAGGGGCAGAGAGAGAGGGAGACACAGAATCTGAAACAGGCTCCAGGCTCTGAGCTGTCAGCACAGAGCCCGATGCGGGGCTCGAACCCACGGACTGTGAGATCATGACCTGAGCCGAAGTCGGACGCTTAACCGACCGAGCCACCCAGGCACCCCCCAGAATTTTGAAATTTTACAATGATGTATATTTACGTGAGTCTATTTTCATCTATTGGGCTGTGTACCTAATGACCCCTTTCATTGTGGAAATTCTTATGTTTTGGTTTTGGGAAATTTAAAAAATTATTTCATTGAATCACATTCCCCACCCCTCACCCCCAAACATACCATTGTCTTTGTTGCCTCTTTTTGGCACTCATATTATTCAGATGTTGGACTTCTCCAA